TACAACCAGTTAAAAATGAAATATTCCAGAAAATACCTAAATGTCACCATGAAAATACCTCCATTGCAATGATTTAAAGCATCAAGTCTTCACTAGGAGTCTAGATAGCATAAGTAAAGAATTTTATTTCTGAGAGGAATGCCAAATTTTATAAATCAGTAAAAAATCTAACGAATTCCTTATTCTGCCACATTAAACTTTCTCGTCTCAACGATGGCAAGAGTTGTATAAAAATTTAATTTAGCTTTAGTTTTAATTTAATTTGATCAACAAAAAAAAAGGTGAGCCAACGCCAAATCAGGGATTATAAATATTAAAATAACAGAAATTATTATGATAACACAAACCTCCATAAGATACACAAAAAACAGAACTTTGAGACCTTAAAATATGTCAGAAAATTATATAAAGATCTAAGAATTTTTAAACAATTTAGCTACTTAATTTTTTAAATATATTAACATCATTCTCGTGAGCTAGTATTAGTTGAAATCTGAATTTCTTAACACACTTACTATACAAGACAAATGGTAAACTTTGTAACATTGAGTTATTGTGTTCAGATGATGAAGAAATATTGAATCTACGTAATGTTCTAGAGAGGTATGATTAGAGAGGTTCTTTGATTAGGCTTATTTTGATAATCACTCAATAACATCTCTGTTTCGTTTGATGTCAAAACGATTTCTACGTGTCCTGCCGTTGTTATCATAATTGAGGCTTTGGTCTGAGCTACAAAAACAATTTTGACCATGTCTAGTTCGTGAAATTGAACATTTTGTTCCTGTTATAGAATTATAATCAATATCAACCAGTTTTCCTCGGATTAGTTAATATACCGTTTCAATAAACCGGAAAAATCTATTTCTAAAACAGGCAATAATTAAACTTAAATGCTTCATAAGAGGCATTCGATTCCTATGTAATCTCTAGGTATACGATATCCACAAATGATCTAAATGGGTCTCGATGAGGAAGGATTTATAATCCCGCAAAATAATAGTAACACAATGTGCAAAAATTTTCTCTCTACATTACACCAAAAATAAATCGATTGATGCATAATAACTTTGAAATCCATTCAAGGGAGAGGCAGAAAAAAACAAAAATATAATTTTTTTTTGGCTTCCAGATCTAGTGACAAGTTTTTAACATTTCTACCTATTATAACAAAAAAAAAAGACTGTGAAGAAGTAAAAATAAAATTGATAAAGTAACAGTTTCACTACTTTCTTTCACACGAAGTTAAAGATTTAATTATTTTAAATATTGGTAGAAGTAACGGGTGTTTTCTTTTTAGGAACGAATATAATTGTTTTCAATTAAATTTTATTTGTTACAATATTAATCAGAATCAATTTATAATGAACTGAACTGCCCTCATTCGTGGATCTTGACCGATTTGTGAGTGTCCTTGAACTCTTAGGTGTGGAACGTGAGTCGATGAAAAGGTCATTTTCAAATTGGCCTAAAATGAACCGGTTATAGAACTGTAGGTAGAATACTGCTGTACCATTGGAATACGATTCGTATCAATTTAACAGTCTATTCGGATTCCTCCGATATTCCCTCATTACTTTTCCGCGGATTTAAGAACGTTCAAAAATCTGTCTAGAATAATTGATTATGACCTTCTGAGGACCTCTTTCTTTTTGAAGTGAAAACTTCATTCGGGTTTTTTTTTTTTTTTTTTTTTTTTTTTTTTGTGGGTAATGAATTAAATTGAGCCTTTAGATCTACGATGTGTAACGCTCTGAGTGTTTTTGCATATGAATTAAAATATTTCAAAAACTAAAAATCGGAAGTGCATATTGTTAGCGAGGAATATGTCATTATTTCACACTCTTAATGAGTTATTATTCAAAATTATATCTATTGATATCGAGTTTTATGGGAGATTAATAAGGGTTAAAATATCTTATTAATCTCCCATAAAACTCCCATATATATGAGATTAAAAAATTAAAAATCGGACCTCCATACTGTAAGGCATGGAATCGTTTAGCATTTGATTATCTTTATAATGAGCTATTATTTATAATTTATATTTTGTTAATGCTTTCATTTCTATTGTGTAGTCTAAACCACACACCTTAGTTTTTTTATTTAGTGTTTTTAAATTTCTTTATTAAGAAATAATACATTTTGCCTCACTTAAGGGCATTAAGTAATAGAGTTATGTGAGACTCGTTCATACTATACATACAATATTAAAACGAAAGAAAAATTATCCAAAAAACGAAAGAAATAACAGTAATAAAAACAAAAGAAATGAAACAACATTAAATGAAAATATAAAATTCATAAAAACACATTCATACTTATTTACAAGGAGCTGTTTCGTTTCCATTTTTATGTTTCGAAGTACCTTTTCACAGATTAGATGTTTCTTTTTAGTTCATAATATATATATATATATATTATATATATATATATATATATATATATACATATATATGAAGTAAATGAAGATAACTCAAAATATATGACCGTAAGCCTAAATATCAACCTCAATAACAGGATCTACGTACGGTCCCTGAACACTGTCTTACCAACATCCTGTATCCAATGTCCTGAATAATCTGAGAACGTAAGAGAAATGGTCCCCGAAAGCACACAGATTCAAATACCCCGTCTCCACAACTTCAATAAATGACCAATTATCAGAAAGCAACCGCATATAATAAGGGCAAACAGAGGTTTTTTATCTCATTCTAAGGCATTGAAACCTCAGAAAATCTTTAGAAATCTAAAATTGAGAATACGATGCTATGACAAACCCTGTTCTGATATCCGTTTGACTACGAGACTCGGACACTAACCAGCAACCTAGGGATAAGTGTTTTAAAAGATTTAAGAGGAATCGTCGTAACGCGGGAAATTCAAACCTATTTGGCACAAACAGATGTAGTGACCCCAATCCTCGGTTCATCGACTTTTTTTTCGGTTTAATTATTTATCCGCATTATTTATAGTTGGTTGTCATAAGTCGTTATCTAAAGTTTTGTTGTTGACGTACCAGGGAGCTCCTGATATAAGTCGTAAAATTTTAGATTGAAATGACTGTAGTTTTTGTAAGTGCGTCTTTTTTGCCGAACCGTAAATCTGAGAGGCATATGTCCAGATGGGTTTGAGTAGGTAAGTGTATGTATTTAGTTTTTGTCGAACTTTCAATTTTGATGTAGAAAAGAGTGAGTACAATATTTTCAGTCGCTTGTTTAAGGTTTGTCGTGTGTGCCCCAGGTCATCCTTCTGTCGAATATTAGTCCTAGCTAACATACTGTGTTTGTCTGAGGAATTTGGTTCTCTCCTATATAAACTGGTGGGCATGTTTCTCGTCGAAGTGTAAATGTTATATGCTGTGACTTGTCATGATTTAATTTTATTTTCCAAAGTGAGTACCAATTTTGTAAAGTCAGTAAATGATTTTGTAAATTTATTGAGGCTAGTCTGGGGTTATGGTGTTTTGTTAAAATTGTTGTATCATCAACGTAGCTGGCGGTAAATGTTTCGGAGTTGATAGGTATGTCATGCGTATATATAATGTAGAGTAAAGGAGCCAGTATTGATCCTTGAGGTACTCCTGCTAACACTGGTCGAATTGAGGAAATCTCTAGGCATCGAATTTAAAGTTCAGATTTTACTAACTTTCACGTTTGTTTTTATTTGTATTTACATACAAATACCTATTGTTCAGTTTATATTGAAAACAATCAAATCTCACAAACGGACACGTTACTTTACTTTAGATACATCTTCGACAGAAGGATGACTTGGGCCCGCATGTATAAATGAAACGTAAGACACTTAACAAACGACTCATACTACTTTACTCTCATTTTATAAATCTTCCAAACTGAAACTGATGTGAACATACTCATCACAAATATACGGTATGGCTAAAAAGATCCACCTGAAAAAACTTCAAACCTTGTAATCAAAATTATTGCGACTCATGACATAAGCACCTTGGTACGTGACTAACAAAACTCTACATACTCACCTCCAACTTCCAACAGTTCACCAACATATAACGACACTTCACTAGCGAATTTGTACAAATTGGAACGGATATAACAACAGATTAATAAGTGACATGGCCAAAGTTGACATACCTCTTAATATAAGGAGAAGACTTAAGTGGCGTTGGATGATAGATCTCCTTCCTTAATCAACCTAAGTAATTGAAACAAGTCAGGGAAGAGTCGCTGGCAACCGTTCATAAAACAAGATTAACCATTTCACATAACTTGAATTATCATCTAATAATTAAGTATGAGTGCTAAGAAATAATAATTAATTCGTGTATTAGTTATTCGTATCTTTTTCGCCTCTATATTTCATCGGCAGGTGCCTGATAATTCCGGATAAAATATATTGGTGAGTGGTTTAGTGCTGTGGAGAATATTAACTGTAGGCCCAATCTTATTTTTGGAAAACTGTAACTGGGAAGGTATTTTCGATCATTTATCAATCTTTTGAAGTCGGTCCCCTGGTGTAAACAATAAAAGTTATTTAATTAAAAAAACAAAAAAATCCGTTCTGATTAACTTAAACATTATACTTCTTCCCGATCAAAAGCTAAAACCAAGATAACTCATGAGTTGCAGTTATACATTTTTTTTAATCCTGCATTTCAATACTCTCCTATCAATGCAAATTAAAATAAAAGATCTTGATTAGCTATTTTTTATCTGCTACAGTTTATTTGTACTGAAATTACAGAATTATTTGATATTTTTGTCGAAATTTATTTAGCTACATTATTTCTTAACTGAAAACTCTTTTAAAACATCACCTCATAAGAACTTGAAGATTTTCAACATATATTTTTTTTAGTTTCAAAAATAGCCATTTGCAAAACCTGCCTGTGATCTGTTATAATTTTATTTTGAATTCAATATAGATCTTAGGTCTTCAATAGATCTTAGTATGGTAATACAACTTACAATAGCTCAATTATCGTTACTATTGAAAGTAATAGTCCCTTCCTTTTCTTCTTCAGGAGGAAACAGGACGAAGTGGAAGTGCTGGAGGAGACAATACGCCAGAGGAACGAGCAGCACAAAAAGGCTGGAGTGGAGCTGGAAGCCACTTGCCACATTTGCCTCAAGACCAAATTCGCAGATGGCATCGGCCATGTCTGCAACTACTGCAGCATCAGGTGCTGTGCGCGCTGCGGTGGCAAAGTCACCCTCAGGTCCAATAAGGTAAGCTTAATTATTTTAATTTTTTTTTTAATTATTAATTACCAACAGTTGCTGTCGAAATAGAAGGATTTCGCCTGGCAAATGATCAGAGGATTTTTATCTAAGAAAAAAATTTCTTACGTGGGAATTTATAAGTTTTTATTACCTCATGAAATTAATTATTTGAATGAGAAAACTTCCTGTTTCTGAGAATTTTCATAGATAAAAAATAGTAAGTTACGATAAGATAAAGCATTTTACGAAGCTTTAGGCAGATGTTAATAATATGATAAAAAAAGAAATGTCTGTACTACGGACTATTATGTTCTGGCATATCAGAAATGTAATGATTGAATATAGTACAGAAACTTGTCTTATTTCTGAAGCGCTCTGACAATAATAAATTCATACTCAATCCAAAAAAAACATGGTTACGAAAATATCAGTCCTGCTCAATTTTGGAAAAAAATTTTCACGACTAATTTCTAAGTAAGTCGATGATCTTAAGAAAAAAAAATCCATCATCACTACATCCTACAGAGGATCTTGGGTTTAAAATTTTGAAAGGACGTAATGTTTCAAGGTCAACGTTTGTGTGAACGGAGATGATTGGTAACAGCTGAAATAGGTTTTCATAACTTGAGTATAGGAGAAAAGTTCCTTACTCACTGAGCTACCTTGCTCTGGATTAAATAATAGGTTGTTATAAAGGCCTTGTGCATAAGTATAACTGTATTTTATATTACATATTTTAAATATTATTGAATAATATTTTCTAGTAAACAAAGTGAAGTCCATTTGTCCATCCATTAATTGATTTCAACATTTGTCTGCTAATAATTAGATTTGATACCGATTCAACTCCTTATGTGTTGAGGCAAAGAACTCATCACGTTCTCGTAATTATCAAAGATACATTTAAAAAATTATCTAAATAAACCATAATCTCATGGTAAAATATCTGGGCTATTTGCAGAATGAGGCCAAACGTTTACTGCTTTCAGTTCCGATAATTTTTCCTTTGTCAAACGAGAACGATGTGCTGGGGCATTGTTGCAAAATGGCTTGGTTTCTGTTGTCCTAAACAGGGGGGGAGGAGGCACCTTACACTCAAAACTGCATACGCACTGTCTAGCTGTTCACAGCGAAGGTTTGAGTCCAATTCGAAGGCTCATATTCCCATTTTTTAAACGCCTGAACCAAAGTGCAGTTGTGTTTCGATGGATAACTGACTCCTATGGAACAAGTTCTAAGCCGCGGCGGCTGACTTTTTGTTTAGGCTTATTTTCCATGCACGTGGGTTTTAGAAATGTAAATGAACCCATAAAGCCAACTCAAGTCACAAGGAATTGAAAAAATTGTGAAAGTAAACATTGACATAATTATTAGGAACAAAAATTTGATTATAGGATTTATTATGAGAGTTGGAATTAAGGGCTGGGTTCATGCACGAGAAGTTTTGTAACAACCTAGTGTATCATCAAAACAATTTTTTTGAGTGAATACATAAGAAATTTATGAATAATTTCACAGATTCATTGTAAATATTAAAATTTTTAATCGATACACTCTGAATTTATGTTAGTAAAGTAATAATCCTTACTATCTAGTAATGCAAAAAAAAAAAATGATAGTCCAACTTCTCTTAGCGAAGCCCTACGTATTTCAATAAAGATATATGTCCCCCAACGTTTATAAGATCTGTTATATAAGTTTTAAAAATCTTACGTAATGCACGATCCAGCTAGAACCTCGTTACTTAATCTATTTCTATTCTTTCTTTAGTACTCCATTCAGATAGGGAGATGATAGGGCTTTTAATTTTTTTAAATTATGATGCTTTAATTTAACCAACATTTAGGAATTTGTCATAAAATTAAGGCCATTATCTGGAAAAGTGTATACTTTCACCCCCTTTTAAAAAGGGCTTAGCTTTAATTTGTATTTGTTCTTTTAGTACAAATAGCAATCATTTCTATAACTCTTTTTATATAATGAAGGAATGAAAGATATTTAAGACCAGGTCTCTTAAGAATAACAATATTGTTCATATAAATTAACAATAAATCTGGCCAAAAGAACTATTACAATATAGAATAACTAAAATACAAGTACGGGGTGGCGGTCATAAATAGACCAAATAGTGGCAAAACTATTTTATTAAAAGCCAACGTTTCGACCCAACTTTGCAGGTCTTCTTCAGGGAGGTGTGTTCAGCAAGGAGTTTGACTTAGAACTCAGGCTTTTAACAAAATAGTTTTGCCACTATTTGTGACCGCCACCTCGTACTATCTCCTTCCTTAATAATACAACGATCAATTATTAAGTATTCAATAAAATACAAGTAATAAAATAAGTATATATATAACTCTTGGGATATTTTAACGGAAACAGATGGATAATAGGATTACAATACCACAATATTGGAGCTAAAACAATAACATGATAATTACTAAATAAAATCAGAAAGGAACGCTAAATTTTATAGGCAAAGCATTGTAGTGATATAATGTAAAAATTAAAAACAAAACAAAAATTTTAAACCTAATACTACGATTATTATACTAACTCCTTGTAAGGCATTCTAAATTAAAACTAATGCAGAAATTGAATACGTATACTTACCTACTTAAGTTCATTTGGACCTGCGCTTCACAGAAATACGGGACAGCCAAAAAGACTGACATACATAAACTACAGACCTTTCAGTCTAAAACTTTCATGACTATCACCAAGACTCCCTGGCACGTCAGCAACATTACTTTACATAAAGACCTACAGATGCCAACAGTTAACCACCACATACAAACACACTACAAGATATTTTATAATAACTTATACGGACATACCCACTCATTGATCGAGGCATGGCCACAACTAACATGCCCGATAGCAATCGAAGAGGGCTTAAAAGAAGCTGGATGAGAGATCTACTCTATAAATATTAAATTCAAGACAGGAAGGACGCCGCTGGGCACTCCTCTCCCTCACGCCTATTCCAAGACCTATTAAACTTCTACATCTAGATATCACAATCGCTGATTGTCGGAACTTCTGATGGTGTGAGTTGAAAAATTAAGTTAAAAAAAAACTACCGTAAATAAATGATTTACATTTGTTCCTTAAGAAGTTAAATTGAATACTCATAAAGATTAGGTGAAGAAAAAAATAAAATAAAATATTCATGTATATGAATTAAAAAAAAAAAATTAACTATAAGACACTCAAGTAGTTTCTAAATTTTTCAATAAGAAGGCCAAGAAACATTTTTTTCTTTCAAAAGTACGAATCTTCATAAAATATTTTTAAAAAATAATGCTTTAACAGCAAGAAGGAAGAATATACCTTTGTATATATATTCTTTGTATATTTAATATAGAATTGTTGCCTTAGTTTTTCAAATTTATACATTTTTAGTACAGCCAGCAATACCTCCAAGTATTGCGGGAACTGTTGCACGCTGCCCCTTAAAGAAATGAATTCGTAGGAGCCCACAAAACAAAAAGTTTTTATAACATCAAACCAAATTTGATATTTATTTTTACCTTTACTTGGGTTTGTAGATAATCATATACCAATCAATCGATTAATTTTAATTTTTTTATGTGGAATAATAAGAAATATTTATTGTGATATTAAATGAGTTATAATGTATCATAAATTACAAAAACCGAAAGGCATTTCCGGTAAAATCGGCCAAGTAAGTGTTGTTGTTTTTTTTTGAAAAACCAAATTAGATTCATTTTTAGTGTCCTTTAGAACTCTTAAATACGATTATTTATAAAAATAAATATATATAAACTTTAGTACTTGATTTTCTACACAAGCATTCATAATTACTCAAGATTTCCTTGTGAATCGGTAGAGTTGTTCGGAATTTATAACAATTATGGTTGTGTTGCCAACGACATTTCGAAGGGTCCAGGTTGGAAAAAAAGTCAAGCAAATAATTCTAAGTTTTCAATTTCTATGAAAATTCGTATTTAAGTGTGTTTGCAGCTGCGAAAAACGAAAATGTACTTTGTTTCTCACTTGACAACCACGTTGATTGGTCCAAATTGTTCTGATGCTGTATCTATCTGCCAAATATAGTATTTTTTTTCCGAAACCGGCCTTTTATCTAGACTAAATGTTGATGTTTGTTGGAAGAGGAGTCATTCAGCTTTCCAACAGTTGTCTTGGAGAAAATACTGAGGACATAAATGATTTAGTTCACAGCCTAAAAAATCATATACTTTAAAATTTTGTATTTTTTATTTATATAAAAATTCGTATTTAAATGAGTTTTTAAGGAAACTTGTTTTATCGATGCTAGTAAGCATAAGTAATAATATTAGATACCGTAACATAAGACTACCCAGAGATTTTCTAAATTAAAACTAGGTTTCTTATGATGAAAAGATTCAGGTTTTTTACCGAATCAGAATATGTCAGGTAATTTTTCAAAGCTGTGTAATTTAGGGAAATTACAGAGAATTTTATTTTTGAAAAACTCTGAAATTCAGAAAATTTCAGAAATGAGCTTGAGGCCCTAAGCACAAGTTTACTGTTATGATTTTTAATCATTGTTGATCAAAACGTGTTTACATAATAGTATGTTTTTAAATACTCAAATATCGGTGGCCAGTTTTATAAATATTTTAATTATCAATTTAACTAACAATTGAAAATTGTTGGAAAATATCTAATCTAGATTTGCTAAAACATTTTAGATGAACATCTAATAGATTTAATGATAAACCAATTAAAAAACAATAGATAAATAAGAGATAAATCTTAAATATAGTTCAAAATTAAAGCTAAAAAAGTTCCATTTACAATGTCTGTGAGCTTGATCGTTGGAACAAAGATGACAAGTTATATGTATTACGGTGTGATTATCAATTCTTCTTGATAAATAACAATCACTATTGTTATTACAGCTCACATTTTTCCTCTTTGGTGTTACCTATTATAAAAATAGAATAACATCTATAAAAAACCTTATGAGCTACAAAAAACGCTCTTTTTACACCTCTTGA